AAAGCGTATGCAAATGTGGAAGGTGTTAAAGAGGACATCGACATGTTTTTTGCTTCCAAACCAAGTGATTTCTGTAATCGGGGCATTAACAACCTGGTTGTAAGATGGAAAAGCATCATCGATAAGAATGGAGAATATTTCATTTAATAAATGTTTTGTTTTGATATACAAGTTGTTCGGGGTTTTTTCATAGTAAAAAAAAAGTGAAATCAATTTCTTGACGACTTAATAGAACAGACATTCTTATGTTTTCTTTATACGTATATATTCCTATGGAATACATGAATTGTCCATAGGCGACTGAAATCAGCACTATTAAATAACAATGAACTTAATACAAAACAAAAACAACATTATAATAAGTCTAAAATTCAAAATAATTCCTCCATTACCTTTTCTTGTTGTCATCCTTAAATCACAATGGATAATGTCTATGGTTACAGCATTCAAACGCGTTGGTATATTCCATCTATCAGACAATATCCATACGCCGATATAAACCTCTCCAACAACTAAGGAGAATCACTTAAGGGTTGGGAGTTGAGTGCTTGAACCCACAACGTCTCAATCCCTACTGTGAAAAGTTTAGTATACTCTAATCCCCTGTAGTGATGGCACATGATGTGACATACATTCGGCATGTAATGCTGTTTGAATAGAAGAAGGGACATGGATGAGCACGTTATATTAAAACAATTTTGAAGTTTCGTCACGCATTTACAACCTTTATTCTCACATCATGTCATGCTCCACCTGACGACCGTGCACCTAGACAATAGCCCTGCAGCATGATATCCAATGAAAAGGCTCGGTAGTAATGCTATTATGTCCAAAGCATATCATTCCTCAATGTATATTTTCCATAATCTATCTTGTGTCCAGTGACTTGAATGGAACAAAATTAGTAACCGTTTTGTTCGCCAGCTGCATGAGGTATGCGAGGACTGAATGATAGATATGGCTGGAAGCCTTGGTGAACCTGTACCATATTGGTCTCTTTTTTTGTGTACTTTTTTGTACAAAGCCAGTATTTCAGTGTTGTACAAATAGTCCAAGTCATTGGTCTGATAGTACTCAGAGCTCACCTGGACTTTTGTATCGACTCTTCTGATTCCTTAACTTGATCCTGGCGCATTATGTAAAAATGATCATGAATCCCTTAGAAAATGTTTAGTGACATGTTGTATACCACTTCTAGAATTGTTTTCGCTCATTAGCGGATAGAAAGTGGCACCAGACTTGTTACTTCTACTAAGGTATACATAATACATACACCTTGTAAAGTATCGATTGGGGAAGTTTTCTTTCATTGCTTTTCCTTTTCTGGATACATCATGGAAGCAACTTGTGTACAAATGACTTGTCACTTTTCCAGGCGAAAATCTTTCTTGATCATGTTGGGCACTCTTTCCTGAGGCATGAGGACTGCTTTTGCCACTGACTTTTGTGTTCATTTTCACCTGTTACAAGACTCCGCTCTGTACTTATCAGGGATGGGGTACGATCTATTGCAGGCAGAAGCGCCGACAGCCAGCATGCCCCCTTCTCTCTCTTTTTATATTTTAAAGAACTTATTAAAAAAGATCCTAAATTATGACAGCAACGATCTCGTAAGCTAGACAAAATCATAGCAGCAGCCGTTTTTAGCTCGCAATATAAACGTAAAAACGTTAATAAATTAACAACAAATATGTGTTAAATCTCTAAAGTAACAAATAAATATTAATTATTACTCGCATTATTATTTCAACCATTCTTAATGTATCAAGCGTCTATATGCAAAGAAAAACCAAAAACTATGCTTTTTATGATGAAATGAAGATATAACCTGAAGGTGCTTTGAGGGCTTTACGGCATAACAAGGTTTCATTCGCCCGGGCCCCTGAGCAGTTACCTACCCCCCCCCCCCCAGTCTGCGGGCCTGGTTGAAATTGTCTATTGGGATGGTTCTGTTTCCCTAAGTTGATCTATAGTGCTTTATTTTCCAATGCCAATAAGTATAAAGGATATCTTGTATTGGAATTCTAAGTTCCGATCAGAACACATCTTTATGATCTGATCGTAGCTTTAACATTTACCCTTCCCAAAAGTCGTCAGTTTCCGGTGGAATACCACTATCAAAAACAAAATGGCCAAAAGTGACACATGCCGTTTCACTGCGACGATATATGACTTACTGATTTATATATATATATATATATGTAAATAGTAACCATTTTGAAATATATCTGATGAAGGCTACAAAACATTCCATACATTTAGAGTGAGCTTGAGTTTGTTTACTGAAGTACGCAGTAAACAATGCACCCCGTTTTTTATTGATTATAAAGTTTAAAATACCTTTGAATGAATATATTACTATTATTGTTAATGTTTCATTTCTTAAGATTAGTTTTCATTGTTAAGCTAGTATAGGAATTTAGGACTAATATATAATTGTGACTACGACTGAAAACATCGTTATAAAAGCAACCAGACAAAACTATTGGTTAAATGCATTATGATCATTATAGTTTTCCATTTTCTTGTGTGCTTTTTATGGTGTTGTTTCCTTTTTGTCAGTTTATCTTGTAGAATATACTTCTTTATTTTATAAATTACCTTTGAGTTCTACATAGCATACGTTTGATCAGAATTTATTAATGATAATTTTTTAAGTGGATTTTTCTTTGTTTGAGATACTATAAATTCTATGAGAAAAGTGTTATATCCACTTCTTGTAAACTTTCTACTGTACTAAATTATGTGAAGAAAAGGAAACAAAAGTTAATTAAACTTATTTTCATCATTCATATAATATATTTATTGATGTTTATTTTTGGCTCCATTTGTAGATACGTTCCTTGGAGTCTGCTTTCAAAAGATTATCGAGATTTCGCAGCAGTGAAAAAAGAATTTTATGAAATGATGGATGAGTTTATTAAAGAACACCAGGAAACGTTTAATGAAACCTGTTTGCGGGATTACACGGACGTGTATTTAGACACGATGAGAAAGGCCGATTCCAGCGAGTCCTTCTCGCGTAAGTAAAACCTGACGACTTCGAGCTGAATGTTGCGACATCTTTATAATTATACACTTGAATAAATACTAAACAATTAAGTTATTATTATTATTATTATTATTATAACCAATCAAAATTCCAAAAATAAGTAACCCGTGAAGTTTTGGTGTGGGCTGCAGAGTATATCCATTAAGTACTGTGTTTTATTTTGGAATAATTAACCAATCATATTATTAAATTTTGTATGTATGTTAACACAAGAGCTATTGTTGTTACCTACGATTTATTTCATCATTAAACGCTTTTTATTGTTGAAAACTCAAGAGTAATTTAAAATACTTTTAAAATGGCTAAGTAAGTTCTCAGATCTGAAATATTTATGCGCAAGGCCAATAGCGAAAGGCTAATCATATCCCACAATGCATTATGAAGATTGCACTCGAAGCGGACACTACTACAAATAAGTCTAGTCGATTATGATTGTTTTAAGTTTCACCAAATGACCTTCGTCTGTAGGTTTATTACACAACGTTTCGATAACCGTGGTGGGGACAACACAAATGGCCCATTGTGAAATTTTGCGCCTAGCAACTACAAGCAAACAATACCTGTAAAATAAAATAAATTTTTATTTTATGATAGTAACACTAAAGCAATTAAGTTAAAATTCTTTAGTATTACTGAAGACTTTTTTGATTGAATATTGGAAGTTATTAATTGCTAATGTACTACTCAGATTTTTGAAAAAGCTCAGGATCGGCCAAATCCAAAACACTTAAAAAAGCTCCACATTATTTAATCAAAATTCAATACTTTCTGAAACTTTGCAAATGGAATTAACAAAAAATAAACACAAGCACCTTGTTTGGAAATGTCAGTTTTTGTGTCTCTTGATAATTTAAACTATTTGAACAATTTTCACACAGAAAAGTGATTTTGGGTTGAAACCTTACACTAATAGGAGAAAATTTCAACAAATAAACTCGCTATGAAATATTTTGGTCGCTTGATAGACTTAAAAATTATTTATAAATATGATTTGGAAGAAACGTGTGAAAGACATCAATGATTCCCTCATTACACGTGTTTTAAATATATATTATTTATAATTAGCCGCGATCCGCACACCATTTGTGGCAGTTTTCATGTCCTTCCCTTGACTTTTCTTTATCCTATCATTTTCACGCACGCCATTTAAGCTACGCTTTCTTGCAAGCATAATGTGTTAGATCAATAAATCTTGGTCAGACAAACAAACTCGCGTAGATGTAACTTCATTTGAATAAAACTACACGTAAAGTAAACAATAAAGTAATGGTATTTATAGTAGTGTACAGAGTATGAACTAATTAAGCATTCGGTGTATGATAGGGTTTTGTGAGATGAAACAAAGAAATTCGCAAAAACGAAGAATAAAACCAGTAACAAAGAGAAAAGGCGTTTATTCCAATCTATGAAACGAACCGAAGCTAAGTTATTGCAAAGTAAAGTAAATGTAAAGTTGTAATGAACACAAACTTAGCTGAATATGCAGAAACGTCTGAATGTGTATTCACAAAGCGAAAAGCTTATAGTTCCGAACGAACTCCACATGCGTATCTTAGACCTAAATAGGCCGATAAAACCAGTAGAAATTGTATTAAATGTAATGTTAATTTTTTAAGGAAATTACACGCGAGTTAAGTGTTGTTTGTGTGAAATACTTTGAAATGAAAAAAAAACTAAAGTTGAAATTGAAGCCAGTCGTCACGTGACACAACGACATTGTGCCACCGTGTAGCATATTCGTTGGATTGAAAAGTTTGACTAAGCAAAAAATGGCTAAGGGATTCTGAATGGGGAGGGAGTCAAAATGCAATTCGGACTCCTCAATTAAAGGCCCTTTCTAACGATATGGGATTTGTAGCGTTTGATGAAATTTGCGAGAAAAGTTCCGGACAGGCAAACAAACACACGCAAGCATATTATTTATATACATGTATATTCAACTGCTGTATTTTGATATATTTATCAAACGCTCTAAACATCGTAATGTATTTACGACAGACTCTGACATCCGAGGGCTACCTTATTTTCTTCTGTTTTAATCAAATATTAATATATGCACAGCTAAAAGATGAGAATTATATTATCCATGTAGGGTTAACGAAATAACACGCATTAACATGAAGATCAGAAAATGCAGATTTTTTGTAGTGGACAGTTTCTCGATAACTGCATTGGATACAAAATTTTGTTTTACATAGTAACTTTGAGATTAAGCTGTTTCACTGCTAAAATAGTATTGGTGATAAGCATTGTTTATTTACTTGTTTTTATTGGACTTTGTGCAAAGCTACACGAGGGCTATTTGGGCTAGCCATCCATAATTTGGAAGCGGATAGGACAGAGGAAAGTCAACTATCAACACCACCCATCTCCAACTCTTGTGCTACTCTTGTCATACCGAATAATAATATTTGACCGTCATTCTTATAACTCACAACGGCTCCAAAGTGCGGAGTGCGATGTTTTCTTGGCTATAAGAGGACAGGAGCCACAAAAATATCTAATCAGTAATCTGATACGGAAACCTTTGGGCCGCGCTCAAGTCTAGATGATAAGCAAACTAGCCTTTCATAAGTTAGCAGTGATAGATTAGAGGGAATTCAGTTAGTCAACACCAACCACCGACAACTCTTGAGCTACTAACGAATAGTGGGATTGACCGTTACATTATAACGCCCCCACGACTGAAAGGATTAGCATGTTCGGTGTAACATGAATTAGAACCCGTGACCCTCAAATTGCGATTCGAGCGCCCTAACCACAAGACCATGTTAGGTCACATTAAAGAAAGAGATAGATATGTTTTTATTTTTTACTTTTCATAATAACAACGTAAATAAATGAAAAGTATGGTTAATATACTGACGTAAACATAACTGAGTCCAAACAATTAAGCCTTGGTCTAGGTGTATATTACATTTTTGCGCTGCTATTAGTCTTATAATTACATGTGTGCAGATAGTCCTGGTGTAGTTTTGTGTGAAATTCAAAACAAACCAAATCATTCTTTAATTTTCTCCTCTTCTCCTATCTGGTAAAGTGGAACGACTGAAAGCAATCGGTTTGAACATGTTCCTTGCTGGTACTGAGACTACGTCCAACACCCTCTACTGGGGAATGAAGTTAATGACCCTCCATCGAGAAATACAGGACCGTGTGTATAAAGAGATTGTAGAAGTTGTGGGAAAGGAGAGATTTCCTTCCATGGTTGACCGCTACAACATGCCTTACACAGAAGCGACGTTGATGGAACTTCAACGGTTTGCTAATATTTCACCTTTATCAATTTTTCACTGTAATCCAGGTACTTAAAATTAACTTAATTTTCTTTTTTTTTTAAGCAACATTATCTAAACGCGCAAGAAGAGTTTTATTTTTATTTTTCTTTACATCACACAGAAAATTCCATATCATAAAATGTTTTTGTTTGGTGACGTAACGTATTCTCTAGAAATTTTCTAGAAAAATTCATTCGCAGCTTTTCAAATCTAACTTCATTCCAGTGTTAAGCCAACAAAGATTCCAAAAATATCCCTCAACCTATATATCTCATACTTTATAATAAAATTTTATAACTTTGATAAATCTAACTAAATTATAACACTTTACTCTGTAAAATATGTGTATCAGGAAAGTTGTCATAAATTGCTCACATTAAGTATTATGTCAATATACTCAAGTTTTAATAGCATTTTAAATTCCTTTAAATTTATTCTGTCTTTCTATACTAAAAAGTAGATACTTCAATTTTGGATTGTTTTGCAAAACCACTGAACCGAACGAAGCAAAGGTAGTTTTCATAAAATAGATAAAAAGTGTATCCTACTTTAACATGTGACTCTGAAATACAAAAATATAATTTTGTAACTTTTTTTTAAATAATTTCTCGTCTTAAAATATCTTGTAACCAAAATTATATGCAAACGAAATATTGCCCCAACTGGGTTTCAATTAATTTGATAAGTGTTTATAGAATACCAAATAATCTTAATGAGAATATTAAATATAATAATTATTAACTTATTAGCTTCCTGATTAACGTCGAATGTTGATGCCCCCCAGTGGCGCAGCGGTATGTCTGCAGACTTACAACGCTAGAATCCGGGTTTCGATACCCGTGGTGGGCAGAGCACAGACAGTCCATTGTGTAGCTTTGTGTTTAATTACAAACAAACTAATGTTGATTCTTAAAATAAGAATTAATGATTCTCCAAGTTTGAGTTTATTTATCGCCATTTATTAATCATAACATCACAGTTTCTTTTATTCATTTACGGTTTATTATTATGTATGTATACAAAATAAGTAGAACATTATTGAAAACAAACTTACATTTAAGTTATTTCACAACAATTTGAATTTAAATCAGAGGAACCTTCTCTGTCGCTGTCTTTGCCAGTTCTTATAACTTGGAATAAATTACTCCATGTTTCGTTTTCAAAATTGTAAGTAAAACCTTGTGAAGTCACTACGTACTTAAGTATATTTTCGTCTATACACGTGAACTATTTTCATTCGGTAAGTATTGGCATTTTTTGTTTTGTATGCGATGTACGATTAATGTTTGCTCAGTTTGTTTGTAATTTCGCGCAAAGCTACACGAGGGCTATTTGTGCTAGCCGTCCCTAATTTAGCAGTGATAGAGTAGAGGGAAGGCAGCTAGTCATCACCACCCACCGCCAACTCTTGGGCTACTCTTTTACCAACGAATAGTTGGATTGACCGTCACATTATAACGCCCCCACGGCTGAAAGGGCGAGCATGTTTGGTGGGACAGGAATTCGAACCCGCGACCCTCGAATTGCGCCCTAACCACCTGGCCATGCCGGGCCCTACGATTAATGTTTCATAATAGTAAAATATATAAAACTTACTTTTTAAAAGAACGTTACAACATAATGAACTGTTTAAGATTTTACACATTGTCTTAAAAATTAAGATTCTTCGAATGATGTCGATATTTGACGAAATGGAAGCTCTTTATCCAAATTCAAGGGCGATTTAGAAAAGCTTCGATCGAAAAGTGAACGTTTTGTATTAATAAATTGGATAATAAGATAATTACAATTTGATATAAAAGAAATCCTTTTGCTAATCGGATAATTTTATCTCTTATGCGCTTGTTGTGATTAAAATCTTGTATGTTAGATTTGTTTACGTTTTTAATTTCACACAAATCTACTTGAGGGCTATCTGTGCTAACCGTACTTACTTTAGAAATGATAGACTAGACGGAAGGCAACAAGTCAACACAACCCACTGACAACTCTTGATTTTTTTTACCAACGAAAAGTGGGGATGGTCATCGCATTATAACGCCTCCACTGCTAAAAAGAACGTTTGGTGACTGGTTTCAAACTCGCGATATGCATGTTGCGAGTCGAGCGCCCCAATCACTCCAATCACCTGACCATAGGTTAGATATCTTAGTGTTCTCCCGTGGAATTTACTATTTTTCTTCTATAAAGGCAGGAAAAGGAGCCCTTTTTTAACTTTAATGGTAATTCAGCTAGAGTTACTGTTGAGCCGAGTCTAATCCAAGATAATGATTAGATCAAAATTACATATTACGAATTCAATTAAACCAGTGCTTTTTTCCATATTCTGTTCTATCGTGTAACATAATAGGTCATTGACTCGCAGAAAATTTGCTTGAATGCTTTTCAAAAATTTACAAACTAACCCATATTTGTGGTGCGTCATATATCGCAAGCTTTAAGAATGACTGATTTAGTTTGCACTTACGAAAAATACTTGCTCAGTGAATTTATCGACGTTAGAGAAAGAACATGCACTACAGTCAAAAACTCCAGTTAGTAAAAATATCAACTATGGGATTTCATAGAAAGTTTAAATGTACGATTCTGGTGTTTATTATTAATTTTTCCGTTGAAATGGTGAGTGTAAATTAGAAGTTTATGGCCTCTTACTCACGTATCAAAATACGCATGAAATGTAAGCATATATTAATGACAACTTGTTTTTGAACTCTGTTTCTTGCTTTACAAAACTAAGAGTTGAATTTCTAAGCAATCACTCGCGAAACAAGGGAATCAAGCGCAACAAAACTCTGAATAATTCTTAAATTTAGACAAGAAGCATAACGAGAAATTTATTAATTGCGTAATAAAACAGTAATTAAAGATGATCGTAAAGAACCTATGTATACGTGTACCTTCTAGAGCAATGCATTGTGCTTCTATGACAAAATATATAATGTCACATATCAACCCTACGATACAAAATTGTTTACAGTTGGTTCACGAGCTTATTAAACATACTTAAGTTACAAGCATTTTCCTTGTTACATTAGAGTTAAGACTAAAAATATCAATAATAGCGGGAGTAAATAACTGATGAATCAAAGCATCATAATCATTACAAGTTTTTGATTTATGATGTTGCATAGTCCTAGTTAAACCAGTATGTTAAATTAGGGACGTTTTTCAAATTCTTTCCTATGCACGTGATCATTAATGATGATAATACATGTTACTTTTAAACCGGAACAAAAATGTGATCTAAGAAGAAACGGGCCACATTTCGCCCAATTGATCTTCATTAAGAATAATGTTACTTACTCCCTCTTCTACCTTTATATATTAACCTTTGACAATGTTTACAGACAGAATTTTGTTTTTATTTTATATTTAACTTGATAATAACGTCACTGATACAACAAGTATATTATTAAGTGATAATGGTAATATAAAATGAAGTTAGACATTTTTTCTAAGCGCAAAGTTAAAAGCTAAGCAAGAGGCTATTTGCACTGTGTCACCGCAAGGAATTGATCCCTGAATTTTAGTCTTAAGTCCTCGAACTTATTGAAAACATAATGTTGTATCTGCAAGTTTAATTCATTTTCAGCTGACTATGAAAATATAGTGTTTAATATTTTGCATCTTATTAGATTACTGTTTTTTTTTTAAAATTGAAAGTTTGACTTTAAAATTTCAAAGGGTCACATCGTAAATTAATTTAATATTATAATTCAAACTTCCGCCATTTGAACATTACGTTTGTAAAAGATAAATCCTTTTTTTATTACTATTATTAGTGGAGACAACTCTTCGCGGATATACAATTCCTAAGCGAAGCGTAATCCTGGCAAACCTTTGGAATGTTCATCGGGATCCTATACACTGGCCTAATCCGGACAAATTTGATCCTTTGCGTTTCCTAGATCAAGACGGAAAAGTCATCAAAAGAGAAGGTTTTATTCCCTTTAGTGTTGGTAAGTGTATATACATTTCGCAGAAAAAAAAATCAAATCATCAAAAATATCAACGTATCGAATAACAATGTTCTTTTTTAGGTTCTTAAGTCACGCAGGATTTTCCCAACATACTAACATGATTTTGTTTTTCAAACAAAGCATATATATTACTCAGAATAATAACTGATACTTGAAAGATTTGAATTTAGAGTCCCAGTAATTCGGCAAATTAGTTGCATCATAATGACTTAGTCACATGAAGTACACACAGTGATACAGCGATATATCTGCGGATTTGCAACGCTAGAAGCCGGATATCGATAGCCCGTTGTGTAGGTTTGTGCTTAATTCCAACAATGACACTCTTCAGGGTAACTACAATTGGCTGTAGAAATTTTCTGCAACGTCCGTCTTTTTTTTTTTTTTTTTGCACAGCTAGGAATGAAAATTGCTTTATATCTTGGATCTTTTCTTCCCATTCTTCTTTTCCTCTCTATTTGTTTATTCCTCTCTTTAATTAAAAAAGTCGTTCATATTTTTCATGGAGTGCTTTAAATTGTTTGTTTGTTTGTTTTGAATTTCGCGCAAAGCTACACGAGGGCTATCTGCGCTAGCCGTCCCTAATTTAGCAGTGTAAGACTAGAGGGAAGGCAGCTAGTCATCACTACCCACCGCCATCTCTTGGGCTACTCTTTTACCAATGAATAGTGGGATTGACCGTCACATAATAACGCCCCCACGGCTGAAAGGGCGAGCATGTTTGGTGTGACCTAACCTAACCCGCGACCCTCAGATTGCGAGTCGAGCGCCGTAACCACCTGGCCATGCCGGGCCGTGCTTTAAATAAAGATAGCATTACTTCACTATTGCACATTCGGGGAGATTTTCAAAGGTGTACATTTACTATAAAGAGCTTCCACATAAAATAATGCCCTTTAAAAATAAATATAAGCTTAAATAAAGATATCGTAAATTCTTTGCTTGCTTACAAGAACTGAATTAAAAGAGATTTAAGATAGTTTTTATGCCTATTATTTCTTTCAAAATCTCGCTGGCTGTCCATTCTTAAGGTAGATAAGCACGGCTCACAACCTACAACTCGTTCCATCACATAAATAACCGTCACAAAAACAACTAACGCAACGATGGTATTTGGCTTATTCTTGCTTTTACTAATTGGTTCATGGTAATATTTATAGGTTATAATTTGTGACCACATTTCTAGCTGAATTTAAGCAAGATTTTAGATTTAAGTTGACACTAAACTCAATGGAAATCAAACCAAAAAACGTCCCACCTGTTACAATTTATGTTAATTCTGTTTTCTTTAAACGAAAATAGAAAATTTTATTTCTAATATTATAAATAGGACAGTAGCTTGTTTTCAAGAAGAAATTCATCAAAAATCGATGGGCAAATATAATCATTCACTTAGGAGTAGCGATAGATCCCATGGCTTTTCGTTTTTCAACTACATCTGTCTCTTACTCTAATGTCTCATGCTGTCAAAAGTAGTGTTACACCCCATGTTTTTCTTTTCCTTCCACTTTTCTCTCTCTCTCTCTCTCTTTCTATTGACCCATGGGTTTGGGAGTAGTGCTAGGTTCCATGCCCGTTTTCTTAACAATCGCTAGATCCAATTTTTCTTTTCATTTTCCAACCACGTCCTTCTCTCTTACTTCCTTGCCCCATGTTATTAAGAATAGTGATAAAACTCGCGTCTCCCCTTCCCCCATAAATTTCTTTCTCTCTCTCTCTCTCTCTCACCTCATCCTTTTGGGAGTAGTGCTAGATGCCATGTTTCCTTCTTTATCCCTTCTTACTCCCTCTCACTCCATACGGTTTTAGAAGTAGTGATAGATCTCATGTCTTTGTTTTCCTTCCAGTTCTCTCTCTCTCTTCCTACCGCCCTTGGTACTAGAAGTAGTGATAGATCTCATGTCTTTTTTTTTTCCTTCCAGTTCTCTCTCTTCCTACCGCCCTTGGTACTAGAAGTAGTAATAGATCTCATGTCTTTTTTTTTTCCTTCCAGTTCTCTCTCTTCCTACCGCCCTTGGTACTAGAAGTAGTGATAGATCTCGTGTCTTTTTTTTCCTCCCAGTTCTCTCTCTTCCTACCGCCCTTGGTACTAGAAGTAGTGCAAGATCTCGTCTTTTTTTTACCCTCTTTTACCTCCTTTCGCTTTATTCTATTAGACGTAATGCTAGGTTCTTTTTCTCCATCCATTTCTTTCTTTATCTTTCATCTCATGCTTTTAGGACTAGTTTTAAATCCCACGTTTCATTTTCTTGTCCGTCCACTTCTTTCTTTTTTTTCCTTTTTTTTTGTAAAAAAACGAAGGGCACTATTTCTTTCTTTGCTAGCTGACCACACACTGCAACTTCTCTTCTACCCACCAGTGAAAAAGCTGTGTACAAGCATATAAACAATAGGACTTTGAAAACCAGCGATTAAGAATGCAAGCATAGTGAAAATGTAATTTTTGTCATTTATTATCAATACAGTGTGGTTAGATTAGTTGAAACAAAATGTATGGGTGTTTTCTCTCAGTGAAGAGTTAACTAGATGCACAGATCCGTCCATTTTTAGTTTATTTTGATCACGTTATGACCAGATTTTTGAGCGGTTAAGTTTACCTGTTGATAAGAAAAAAAAAAAAAAATGTAAGAACGGATTTGGAATTGTAATTCAGAAAGTCTTTACACTTATGTTATGATAAAAACGAGTTTTCTAAAATACTAAAGTTTTTTTGTTATCCCCCTAGCTTCTTATTCTAAAAAGTGGTTTTATTGCATCGGAATTAAGTTTTTTCTGCATTTCGTCCTCTTCAGGAGAACGTAACTGTATACTTTGCTAAAAGTAAATAAAAATAAAATAAAAGTCACACACTTATTTAACATGCACGCCCCATGTATTAGAGAGTGATACTACATAACGTTCCTTGCACTGTAAGCTGTGGGTTCGTTATATGAGTAATAATCAATCCCTAGCATGGATGGTAGGATGCTGCTGATTGGCTGCCTTCCCTCTGGTCAGTTTTTCAAAATTAGTGATGGCAGCAGATAGCCTTAGTAGTTTTGCCATAAATATACTATAACTTATGAATCGTTTTATTTGGCTGATTTGTTGAATAAATTTAAAATGTACTCTTATACAGGAGTGGTTCTACAGTTTAGAAATACTTAAGATTATCAGTACTGTTTTATCAGAGCTCGCCTAAATATTCTTCAGTAATCAGACTGCAATACTGACAAACATTTGTTTGTTCTCAGTCAAACATACGTAATTAATTATAGTTAACTAACTTTGTAGTTTGTATCTTCAATTATAATATACACCT